TATATATATATATATCAAACTGTGAATTGTAATATATAAAATGTTTAGATTCAACAAGAGTGAGTTGTCAATAAAACACCACATCCCAGATTGAAAAAGAAATACCATACAATTGCAACACGTGTGAATGATTTTAAAACAAACTGTTCATCAATAAATCACAAAGCAATGAGTGAATTGAGCAGGTAATTGGAAATTAAAAAAAAAATCGTCTTTCTTTTTTTTCTAAACCTATTTCCTTCTAAAAACTTACTCGCCCTTTTTAAAACCTAAATCTAAATTTAGGACATCATCTTCCTTTGGAATAGATTCCAGTCAAATATCCACTTTCTAGAACAATTAAGCACAGTAAATTCGAGGGAAAAAAATTCTTGGAGATTTCCTAGAAAGAAATTGATGGATTAACAACTCTCCTATGTACCACGTGAACTCGTGGATAGGGCATGTGCTGAGAAGATGTTGGATTTTGAATAGAGAATGAAGGATCCAAAATCATGTAAATCACGACCAAGAAGAAGTCTAAATTATACAGGGTGAGTTGAAAGAAAATTTATATGTGCAACCATCAAAGAGATTGATTGAAAGAGGCGATGGATGAAATTATCGATCTTAAGGATTTGCACAAAAACGGTACAGAAGAGGAGAAAAGATGAATAGGGGCATTTTAGTCTTTGTAAGGATATTTTGTTTTGTCCCACTCGGTTCAACCTTTTTGGGTGGGACATTGACCAAAGTTTTTGTCCCATTCACTTTATGTTCCGTCCATGCCAAACATCATTTGAACAGGTCTTTGTTCTGTTCAGTCCCGTTTTAATTCTTTTTTTCACTCGAACCAACAATTGAGATTTGAGGGGGAGAGCACATATAATCATCGATTCAAGAAGGAGGGGTGTGGGTTTCAAATTTTCTTGTGGAATGGACTTGGTTCGTCAAAAGAGAAATGAGATTTATGACAAAAGTCTCAACACTATGTGTGGGAGGTTGAAGGTGGTCAAAAGAGAAAGGTATGAGTCCAGTCAGCATGTGCATGTGGCCCACACGGTATGGGTTCTGTTTGCTTACTTGGCATCTTAGCCATCTAAAAACATGTTAATGTGTCTTCCAACAATGCAGTGGTAACCGGCTGTGTGGAAGGTGACCTGATAAATGAGATTTACCACAAAAGTCTCAAAACTATTAGACATTAGTGAACAAAAAATTGAATTTAAGGTAAAATCGTACAAAAATGTCAAACTTTAAGGCTTTCATGTAAAAGCCCTTGAAAGAATATGAAACATTCATTGGGCGATTGCCCTTATAAATTATAATGCTCATGTTTCCGATCCGTTGGCGAGAAACACTGGTTGCCACAAGACTTTAGGCCATGGGTTGCATAATCTCATTCACCCAAATGCACAAAAAAAAACCCCTCCACTCCATTCTCTGTTGTGCAACGACCAATGACACATATATCACCACATTCACTGTATATCAGTATATCACCAACACGTATAATTTCACTTTAACTTCTTTTATTAATACCCTAAATGATTTTTAATAGTAAATCAGATAATAAAAAATAAAAATTAAACACTACAACAAACCAACATGCCAAATAATCATAAAGTTGATCTTTTCATATCAAGACCCCAAACGAAACACTTGACATCATCATAAAAGATTTGTGCCTTTTGGGAATCGAAGATTTGTACACCATGGTACCCTTCATCGTCAAATTTCCTTCTCACATACACCCCACAAGCCTCCAACATATTAGCAAACTCTTTTTGTCTATCAATTAGTGGGTCTCCATTGTTACCTAAGATCAGACATTTTGGTAAATGTATGATCTTTTCACTTCGAGATCTGTTTACATCTCGTAATGGATTACAATATTCATGGTCTCGATCACTAGCTTTGGGTAGTGCGAGAGACCACATGAGATCATTAGCCATCAAAGGGACTATACGGTCATTCACCAGTCGAAGTTCTGATTCAGTGCGCTTCACCCCACCAAAAAACGGTTGGTTCATTATGAGCCCTACGATCTTTATTGGATTAAGATCAAGATCAAGGGCACGTAAGCCAGCATTGTACGCTATATTTCCTCCTGAGCTATCTCCCATCAAGTATACTTTGGAAAAGTCAGCGAGCTCAGTCAACCGCTCATCACAACCGTTGATCTGTAATGCCTGGTCACGCACCCACAACACCGCCTCCATGGCATCATCATACGCCGCCGGGAGACGGTGTTCAGGAGCAAGGCGGTACTCGACGGAGATCACAATCGCCGGAGACTGGGCGGATATGGCGGCACATGAATTGTGGAAGGGAAAAGAGGTGGCGCTAAAGAGAATAAATCCACCGCCGTGGAAGTAGATAATGATCGGGAGTTTCCCGGTAGTGGTTGTCGGTGGTGACACAGGGCGGAAGAGGCGGATGAAGGTGGTGTTGCTGGTGTTAAGTGGTATATCTTTGGAGAAAGCGAGTTGGTAATCAGCTGTGAGTTGTGGTGTTGCAGGGGAGGATGGAAGGGGGGCAAGTCGGGTCAATGACCCATCCGGGTTTTGTGTGATTTTTAGGAAGTTGTAAGGATCCGACTTGGATTTTGGAACAGCCATGACCGTAGACAATTGAAAGTGCGTGTCTTGTTAATGAGTTTATAATAAAAAGTAGGTGTACCTGATATATATTTGATATAGTAATAAATTAATAATTTAATGTTATTAAATAAATTGATTTCAAAGGTTTCATATATTCAAAAACGTACTCGATAAATTTTTGATCAATTGAATGAATTCATTTAAATCATCCCTGCATAATGTATTGTTTTTTTAAAAGGCCAAAATGATCTGGTTAAGTATTTTATTTTTGTAAAATGAATATATAAAATAGTTAGTAATTTTGGATTTAACAATCAAATCTAATATATTTGCAACACTATGTTAATTTGGGAATTGTTTCTTTGGAATCAAAACCAACAAATTCTTGAAGTATAGCTGGAACTTTAAAGATGGCATTTATTTCAACAACATTTACATGCCGCACATGATTGTCAGGGTTAATAAAGTGTAAACCAGGACGGAATTAAAACAGAAATCAAAAATATTAAAAATGAAAACCGAATTAATGTAATTAATTAGAGGTAGCATCTGATGTTGCGGAAAATATGTATGTATAATAGGTAACATATAACTACATTTAGATTAATGTTAACCAGGGAAGAGCCCCGCTTTGCGGGGTTGGATCCGCCAAGAAAATCTGTGTAGGATCAAAATGTGAATTTAAGTTTCTGCAGAGACATTAATTTGGTTTACAAAGGGGCAAAAAAGGAAAATTACAGAACTTCAACGTTGACAAAAGATCTAAAGACCAAACAAACCCATTCTACTCGGATAAAATATTTAAAAAACAACAAAATGCAATCATGAATATTATTAAAATGGTAAAAAGACATATTCATAACTCATCTTTTGGGACAACAACTTCTAATAAGATCGAACAATAGGTTATTTATAACTGTTATGGTTCATATGGGGATGTTAGTTGACTATTCTGAATGACCTGAATGGTAACTCCCATAATTAAACCAAACACTGCTACAATTTGACTTGCATGAGCTTTTTCATTGTCCTGAATGGTAATTTCCATAAATAAACATTCAAAATTATTCATAACTATTTATTTATGTATGGAAAGTAAAAGAGTTTTAATGGGAATTAACTCCATAGAATCTCAATGCATCCGGTCTAATTTGGATACCTGTCACAATGTTAATATAATAAACAAATAAACAAAAATATGTTGCTATTTCTTGCATTAAACACATTTATATATCAAACCATCTAGAGTTCACTTTAATTTTCTTTCCCGTATTAATATTTGTTATGAATTCGCCATTCTTGAGAACACCTTCATAGATTCTACATTGAAATAAAATCATCAGTTATTTTCACAAGAAATGTACATAAAATTGGGAGAAAAATACCTTAAATATGTCAACTATTTTTTTCTAGGGAAATTCCATTAAGTCTTTCGAGTTTTTTCCTTCCTATTCTCCTTTCTCAAAAGGGGGGACGTTAAACAAAGTTAAAGGATTACTTCGTTCTTGATAGTTATTTACTTAAGCGGTGAATGGAAGAATACTCTGGATCGGAATCGTGGGAAGTACTCAAACTTCACTTCTTATTTTGAGAAAAGATTAAATTAAAAGAAATAACAAATAGATTACACCTGCAACCCTTCAAAAGATACTGGGAATTCAGATAATTCGAATAGAAATTTTACGAATTTCTCCTCTTATCTCTCCCATCAACAGTAATTTCATAAAGTTGGCCATTTTGTGTGCCAAGAACAACCTCTCATGTGGAAGCTGTTTTAAGATCCAAATAAGGGATATGAAACTATGAAAGTGAAATCCATGTAATTCATTAGTCCTTTTCAGAAAAACAAAAACACTATATGCAACAATAAAATAATGACAAAACTGTAAAAATGGTCCCTATGGTATGCACTTTTTTGGGGTTTTAGTCCAAACCACGACTTTTTTGGATTGGAGATCCTTTTGAGCTAGTTTCTTTGTGTTTTTGGTCCCTCAGTAAACTGAAAAGACTATTATGCCGTGATATATTTTTTATGCTTTTTCTATTTAATTTAAATGAAAAATAAAATAATTAACTAATTTGGGGCCCACATCTCTCTCTCTCTCTCTCTCTCTCTCTCTCTCTCTCTCTCTCTCTCTCTCTCTCTCTCTCAGAATAAAGCACACAGCTCATTTTTTTCTTTCGATCTCTACTTCAACGAATACGAAGGGCTGCCACCTCCGACGATCTTGAGGCAGCCACTGCACCACCTGCCATCGCCCTCCTCTGGTCCGGTATTACACCCCACCACCATTGCTCCACCACTCCTTCCCCGTCTCACCCACGAACGTCGCCGGTAACAAAGAAACGAGAGCAGGACCGATGAGGCAAGGCATCCACCACCTCCGCACCACCACTGTTCTGCCACCAGCCCATTACCCCACCCTCCTCTCCTTTTTGATTGCTAAAGGCAGAAGAGGACGACGAGGCATCAGTTTCTTCCAAAGAAACGAGAGCAGGACCGATGTGGTGCCCAAATTATTAAAACATGTTCCCAAATACAAGACTGCTCCGATTTTTTCAAAACCCAGAAAATAAAATTGAGTGTGAGTGTGTGTTTTTTAATTTTTCAGTGTGTGTGTATTGAACCCAAATCAGCTATGGGGGTAGCATCAGTTTCCGAATTAGCTTGTGGAAATGAGCCTGTTTGAACACTAAGGTGATTTCTTCCATGAAACTATTAGCCTGCTTGATTTCTGGGTCCAAAGCTTCAACCATGGAGTTCACTTCGCTGAAATACCTCCATGCCCATTCTGCTAGATTCATATCCCCATCTCCTTCCCGTGGTTCTTTTCCAGTTACCAATTCTGCAAGATTCATACACCAAGATCTGAGACTTATTTTATTATATGAAAATTAAGAAATTGAAACATTTAGAAACTAACCTGTAAGAAATTGATACGAGGGGAGGAAGGAGTAAGGGTTGGGGCTCCTGTACTCGACAAAATAAACACGGTTGTGGTGGGTTTTTACCATGACAGCGGGGAGTGGCGGAGGGACTTGCTCCGATGGCAAGCAGGGGTGGTTCTTGGTTGTAAGTGAAGAAGAAGAAGGAAGGGGAATGTTGGTCTGGGGTGTGTGTGTATGTGTGTGTGAGAGAGAGGGGGGAGGTATGTGGGCCCCTATTTTATTTTATATATATAAATACCTATAGGAAAAAAAAGAAAATGGAAAATAAATATAATAACTGCAATTTAGCCTTTTCAGTTTACCGGAGGACCAAACTCACAAGCAAACTAGCTCAAAAGGACCACCAATCCAAAAAAGTCGTGGTTTGAACTAAAACCCCCAAAAAATTGCATACTACAGGGACCATTTTTGCAATTTTGTCTAAAATAATAAAAAAAGATTATTATTAAGGAGATTACCATAAGAATCACCACGACCAAAGTCATGGCTGATGTTAGTCTTGTTAGTCCTGAGGAGATGAAATCATTATCTGCTTTTTCAAAGTCTTGTGCTGAGATAACAAACAAACACCATTTGAGTAATGTACATAAAGAATCTAAAGAGTCAAAGAAGAATCAATACCTTTAAGAACTGTGTATAGAGTGAAAGAGTCCTCTAATCCTGCAGATGCTAAAGAATAAGGGCAACTGAAGAGAAATGTATAGAGTGAAAGAGTCCTCTAATCCTGCAGATGCTAGATTTAATTAGGAAGAAAATATCAAAAAATACACAATAATACACACAAATACAAAAAAATATCCAAAAATATACATCATTAGCTTAAACCTTAGATCTGTAAGTCATTTCAACATACCAGGAAAATGGTTCTGCAATTTAAAACACCGATGAGTCCCAGAAACATATACAATTAAACACACACTACAAACGGGGGATTTTAAAGACAAATCTGATTTGTCACTGTTGATGTTTGGATGCCCATCCATAATGAGCTTCAAACTGTGAAGCAGTAATCTGTTCCAACAAAGTAAATAAATTAATATTAAAAGAACAAAATTCAAATACAAAGAAGATATAAAGACCAGATTACACATAAATGTTCAATAAGATGACACACATATACATCAGCTCACACATAAATTCATATGATATCATACACATACTAATCAGATATCAGATTACATATACATACAACCATTAGTTTCAAGCTATGAAGATAAAAGAATAATGGAGCAATTGCAGGGAATATCGATAGGGTTACATGGATTGTTGGAAGAAGATGCGGTGACCCCTAGTTATGCAGAAAGTTTAGAGATAAGAAAGGGTTCGTCTGTGCATAGACGAAGCAGAAGCAGAGGAGGAAACAATACATAAACCCTAAAAGAAGACTGAAAGACGAACCTGAAACAACAGGGAAGGACGGAGGCGGAATTGGAAGACTGCCTTCCCGTACGCCGATCCGGATGGTGAATAAGCGTGGTGCAGTTTGAGGATTCCGGACTCAGAAGCTAACCCCGAATCGGTCAAGGGAAGAGAGACGGCGGTACTACTGTTGACAAAGTGGGATGTGAGTGATGAGTGGAGGTGGTACGAAAACAGCACAGAATTCGGGTCAGGATGGTCGGTTGATGATTGGAAAGGAGATAAAGAAAACAGAAACATCCGATGGAGATTTCAACGACGGAAGCAAAGACAGAAGAACCGACCCAAAATCAGTGGTGGTCACTCTCAAAATCGATACAGGCGAGGGAAATCAGAGCAGAAGAAGAAGCAGTCGGTATGTGGAACGGCGAGGGAGTGGCCGAAAACGAAGAAGAAGATATATCTGATCAAATACTCTATTCTATATTTCCATTGGAGTCAATGTAAACATTTCAGGCGGTGAAGGGTTGGGTGGAGGAAAAAAAAAAAAAAATATCGAAGGTGGTTGGAAATTAGAGAAAACAGGGAACAAATGGAGAAGAAAACAATGAATCGGGGGGTGAAATCGATCGATGGGCGGTGGGATATCGGGTTAAGAGCCGATGGCGACCGATCCAATTCTTATTGGGTAATAGAGTTGGTGTGGAGGACACTAATCTGCTAAAAGAAAAAACGGGAAAAAGGGAAAAAAAAACAAAAAAGAAAAAAAAATCAGCCAATCACAACAATGTTCACCTGGCACTTCAAAATTAGTATATATATATATAATTATAAATAATAGTAAAAAATTTTATTTGTAAAAATAAATATTATCTTAAAAAACGTTGTATGGTACACATTTGGGTCAGCATCTGCGATGGTTAGGCTACCTGGAGTGAGCCATTATTGACGGTGTTATGCGCATTATCGACGTGAACACCACCCCAAGGGTGGCGTGGTGGGCATGACCGTGGGCAGTCGTGATCCGAACAACGGCTTACCACGGTTCTCTTTGCCCATATCTTATTTCTTCTCATCTCTCTCTTTTAAATGTACAACACATAATACATGGAGTAAAGGTATAGAAGTTAATGAAGATTGAAGAATGGTGACCCTTTCCTAAGTGTATGGTGGGAAATTGGTAAGCGATGAAGTGACAACAATTTTGAAATGGTCAAGATGTTTTGGTGATGGTTTGATGACCGATTTTGGAAAGATGTTTGGGTGGGAGGAATGCCTCTAAAATGAAGGCTTTTTTGCTTTTCCTTCAAAGACAGACAAAGATTGTTACATTAGTGACATATAGGGCGATCAAGGTTGAGTGTGGCAATGACTAAGGGGTTGTTTGTTTTATTGTTTACCACTTAATTCATCTTAATAAGAGATAGATATGAATCTATAAAATTCAGACTGTTTGTTTACCCCTTAATTTATGGTCTCAATCTGAATAAATGCACTTACCGAATCATATGTGGAAGCCTATCTGAAAAGAAAAAAAAAAGACAACCCTAGCCTTAAGTGTTCTATTCTTTTCTCCCATCTGTTTCTCTCACTCTCTACCCTCGCCACCAACAGCTGGAGAACAACCTCCTCCCCTTATCCCCATCGCCATCTCCGACCGTCCCCACCACATGATTATGTTTCTCACGCTCTGTTTCTCTCGTTAGCAAGCAAATATTCTAAACATAAATATTCTTCATTTATAATCGATTGATTTCTGAAATATATGGGTTGATTTCAGTTGTTGATTTTGTTGAGATGGGTTGATTTCTGAAATATGAGTTGATGATTTTGTTGATTTCTGAAATATATGTTTATGTATAGCTGAATTTTGTTCCTGAACTTTGCTGATTTTGTGTTTATTTGGTGAAATATATTGCTGAAAATGTGTTTCTAGTTGTTGATTTGTTCTTTTTTATTAAAAATGTGTTCCTAGTTGCTAATATAAGTTGTTGATTTTGATCATTTGCTGAAATCTGTTGTTGATCTTGTTATTATGTGTTTAATTGTTGTTGACTTTGCTAATTTTGTTGATTTCTGTGTATATGTGGTGTGTGTACCCTTATGGTTTATCTGATGTTTTTATGTGAATGTGTATGTATATAAAAGATTGGTTAAATGCAGGAAATAATAAATAATGTATGTTTATGTTTCTTGAATTTAAACCATTATATTTTAAAATTATGATGTTATAACTCAATATACTTTGAAAAGGCTGCTAATTACAACATTATATTTTCAAAGTACAATGCTTTAATAAGAAAAAAGGTTTAAAAAGTTGAAAGGATAAAATAGTCTACCATTACTTTCTTCGCTTCAATTTGATGGCAGGTGAGTGAATAAGGTTGATGGCGGGTGAAGGCTGTGGTGATGATAATAAATTTCAATAACAGATGGGTGCTTGGTGATGATGTATGATGGTTGTGTGTTATGAATAGGGTAATGGTCTGTTTCATGTTAATGATGAAGATGTCTTGTGTGTGTGTTTCGGTAGATTAGCAACATTTTTTCATTCACATGTTCAAGAACCAAAATGATTCTATACATTATTTCATGTAAACCTTATATGGGGTGTGATGTTGACCAAATTATTGGCTGATAATTGTAATGCAATATTAGGTTGTTCAGTTTACTTTGTACTTTTTTGTAATATTGGGTGTAATGTTTATATTTAGCCTCCTACTTCGATGAAAAAAAAATATTTCAAATGCATGATGTTCATTTCTAGCATCCTACTTTGATGGAATTTTTTTCAAACGTATGATGTTGTAACCGAAAGAAATGATACAAAAGGGTAAAATTATCATTTTTATCATTCATTACAACAATTCAGAGGTTCCAACCAAACAACGTGTTAAAATTCAGATCTTAAAAAGTCAGACCCTCTTAGAAATTCAGATCCTGCCAAACAACCCCTAAGACAAGTAAGGGGCAGTGTTGAACAGGATCAACTTGATCACTGAGACTTGTTGATTTTTTCGAATTGATGGTTAGTGATTAGTGGTTTGTGGTTAGTGGTTAGAAGTTATTATCACCAAGTTAGTATAATTCCCTAACGCACATATTAGAACTTGGAACCTTCAATCTAAGAGACAAAGCCTCTACCAAGTGGGCTAGTCCCATAATGGAATTGAGAGTTCTTGATGGTTAGAGGTGTTGATGGTATGCGGTTCTATATGATTCCAAATTCTTGGTTGTGGTCGTTAGATGATTTGATAGAGTTTACGATAAACTATGTTCGTAACTGGTTTGATGATATTTTGTTACCTGATGGTGTTCAACCTACGAGATGGAACTTTGTGGTTCTTAGGAAAGTTAACATCTTTGTGTTGGAGACTATTACTAGACTAGCTTCCTTTGAGAAAAATATTTATGGAAAAGGTATTGATGTTCATAATCTCTTGTGTCCGCTTTGTTTGGAGCAGAATGAAGAGGCATACCACCTATTTTTTAAATTTGAGTTCGCTGCTAGAACATGGAATGAGGTGCTGAAATGGTTGGATATAAATTCTTCGTCTCGATTGCAGGTTTAATTATGTGGATGGATGCATTGAATTTCAATAGGCGAAAGAAAATTGTGATGGAAACAATCATCGAAACTATGTGGTGCATTTTGTGGTGCTTTCGTAATGATTTGGTGTTTGGTAGTAATAAGTATAAAAAATCGAGGATTTTTTATGTTATTAAAGAATATTCGTATAATTGAATTGTTTCTAGAAACCAGAAATGTGTTTATACTTGGGTTGATTGGCTTAAAAATCCAATCAATGCCTTTATTTTGTAAACTCTTTTGTTTTTGCCTTTTAATGTCTTGCTAGAGGTGGTTTTTATTGTAACATCCCAAAACTTAAGACCAAAATTTTCATTTTTAATTAAGTTATTATAAAACTAACAGTATAAAAACATCCATAATAACATCACATGTCAAAACCAGAGTGTCAATAATCAAAGCATGTTATCATAAAATAATATGAGAGTGTAATCCCAAAGATCTCATGTGCGGAAAATCATAGTGTGATGCGCTGGGATCAAGCCGACTCCTTTCCTTTGAAAACGAGTACCTGAAACTAAAACCGTAAAACCGTAAGCACGAAGCTTAGTGAGTTCCCCCCATCATATCACATACCATATAACAAGCATACTGTCAGGCAATTATGGGGTACCTGACCTACCCATGTCAAGCCATTCTGGGGTGCTCGACCTACCCTGCCAGGCAATTCTAGGGTGCCTGACCTACCCATGTCAAGCCATTCTAGGGTGCTCGACCTATCCGGTTTATCTGAACTGGCTATCGGGATTATTTCACCTCTACTACTACTATATAATATCATAGCATAAATATACTGCTAGGCAATTCTGGGGTGCCTGACCTACCATTCGGTCCTTACGATCGTGACACGGGGACTATTCCCCCTACTATCACTATCACATAACATCATATCATGCTAGCACATAAAACATAACAGACAGTGGCTAACCAGACAATTATCACAAAGACAATTATCTAACAAACAACTCCTACTAGTGGGTCGGCATTGTGGCCTTAGACCCACTTCTACTGGAAGGTAACTCACCTCACACTGCTGAAGTCCCGCAAACAAAACCCTGGCTACTGGATGACAGCTTCCCGAACTGTCAATATCAAAACAACACCCAATTAATAATTGGGTTCCAATACATATCCATAGGTCCATGCTTGGGGTGAAAGACTACTTTACCCCCATCTTAGCTTGATTCAAAGGCAAGGCCCAAAAGTCAAACTTATTAATCAAAGCCCAACATATGGCCCAATTTTCTAAATTGGGCCCAAACCTTTACATGGTCTTACCCTAAGGACCAACCATTTAGTCCAATCCAAACATTTGGCATTTCTAATGGCCCAATATCTCATAATCATAAAGGCCCAATTATGGTCCATCTAGGGCCCAATTTTCCAAATTGGGCCCAAACCCCTCACATGGGCCTTACCATAAAGTCCATTAAATTATTCTAGTCCATTTGCTTGTTCTTGGATGACCCATTATTAGCCCAATCACCAAAGCCCAATAGGAAGGCCCAACTTAAGGCCCAAGCAAGATTAGGGTTTTCACACAAAATGCCGATTAGGGTTAAGAGTTTCTCACTTAACCCATTAAGGACTTAATCCATTAAGTCCATCACTTCTACTAGATAAATCATATGGTGTGGTCGGGCTTAATACATAGTCCAATTCCAATGGCCTAAAATGCGGGTCCCGATAAATCCAAGCCAATGATTCCAAAATTAGGGTTTTCTAAACCATAATTAGGGTTTCCAACCCAATAGGCCCAAAAGTTAAGTCCTTAGATCCATTAGGGTTTCATTAGGCCCATTAGGGTTTCACTAG